ATCGGCAAAAATTACACTACTAGGGGCCAGGGAGATGGCTCAGTGGAATAAATGGTTCCCTGGCAAGCGCAAAGGCCTGAGTTCAATCCCGGTTCAAAAAAAAAAAAAAAAAAAAAATTACACTGCTGTGCAAACAAGTATGCCATACAGAAAAGACTGATGCTGTATAAAAAAGGTCTGTAGAACTGTACAAAAAAAAAAAAAAAGATGGGTCCTAAGTTTGAACAGGTAGGTCATTAAATGAGAAATATCTGTAATAGGTTTTGCTACAAACTAAGTCTTCTAGTTGTGAGTTGTACGAACCCCTTGTTTTTTTTCTCCCACTTGGAAACAGGGTTTCAGCATGCAGTTCAGGCTGGCCTTGAACTTCTGTCCTCCCGCTTCAGCCTCCCTAATGCTGGGATTACAGGCATTCGCTATTATGCCCGGTTGAGGAACCCATTCTAAGAAGCCTAAGTACCACAAGAATGTGAAGTCTCACAGAACTAGACAGAGGGCAGGCAGGCTGGGTCGGGGACTCGTTTCATTTCTCGTTTCTGCCTACTGCCCTCCTACTCACAAGCTTTCCCCTCTGGCATGCACCCCAAGAGGACTGTGGCAGTGGGGTGGGTGGGGTATGCTGTGCACCGTGCCTCAGGCGGGGCCAGTCAGGTGGCCCCACATATGTCTCCCTTGGAGCTGCTGGAGCCTGGGCTCCCACCTCCATCATGGGCGCCCCCAAGATGCACTCTGCAGTCTGGGGACCGCTCAGTGGTGTTCAGGCTGGGGGCTGGGTGTGGGCAGTAGCCAGTGGTCTTCCAGGAGGCTCCTCCCAGTTGGGTCCCATATTTCTGTACAGCTTACCTGGACTGAGAACTGAGAACTGGAATAAATCAGCCAGATTATCTCTGTTTGACATTCCAAGGAGGCTTGGGGGAGGATTTATGCATTAGGGCAAGAGCTGCCCTGCTCAGCCCTCTCCAGGTCTGGGTGTGGTGTGATCTCCTTTTGGTAGGACTCTGAAGCTGACTGCTGAGTGTGCTGGTAAGCTGGTCTGTCAGTGGCTGGGATAAGGGACTGTATCCTGGGGAAGTTTCACTGGGGAAGTCAGGATCCAGGTCAGCAGGAAGTGGCCTTTCCTTATGAAACTTCGGACTTGCTGCCACTGGCCTTTGGCTGGCCCATCCCGTCTAAGGCTGGCTTCTGCAGAGAGACCAGGCAATGTTGGAAGAAACTAAAGGGCTGGACTCAGGACTCAGGCTGGAGGGAAGAGGTTTCTAAACACCTTGGGAAGAGAACTGCATGAAGTAGGGAGCCCTACCCCGTGTGTGTGTGTGTGTGTGTGTGTGTGTGTGTGTGTGTGTGTGTGTAAGCATGCGTAATGGGCCTGCAACTCCCAGGTTCCCTCTTCTCTTAGAGGAATCTGTCAGTGGGGCAAAGGCCTACCTGAAGTCCCACAGAGATGGTCTTTAGAAAGGTGGAGGAGGTGAACCCCAGGGGAGGGCAGACTCTATGTGGCTTGGTAGTCCTTGCTGGATTTATTCTTCCAATTACAATCAGCAGGGTTATGCTACAACCCCTTTGATGCTCCTCATAAGGAGGTCAAAAGCCAACATATCTTCCATTTAAAAAATATCAGCCATCCTAAGGTGGTTTCTCTTCTGTAGGACAGGGCATGAGTCTGGCTTTTCTTATGTTAAATGATGGGGTAAGGATGATGTCTCATAAGTCTTCTTTTTCCTTCCTGTGGCCAGAGATGAGGCAGGTGGGGTCATGTGCCTTGCTCGTCACTGTAATTCTTTCTTTCTTTCTTTCTTTCTTTCTTTCTTTCTTTCTTTCTTTCTTTCTTTCTTTCTTTCTTTCTTTCTTTCGAACTAGGGATTGAACTCAGGCCCTTGCACTTGCCAGGCAAGCGCTTATTCTACTGAGCCATCTCCCTGGCCCCATCACCGTGATTTCTTAGAGAGGGCTGTGGGTTTGATGGCAGAGTACTAAAGACAGAGTTTTGGGTCCCACCTCACCAGCCCTGTAGGGAAGGGGGGTATCTACTGCAGGTGGCAGCAGAGAGGCAGGGCTCTGCCACACGGCTGAGTTTGTCCTTACACAAGAGGAGCTGGCAGTGTGCCCGCAGGATACAGCTGCCTGTCTTGGGTGGGGATGCTGCAGTCTAAAGGTGCTAGCAGAACTTGGGAGCCCTGGGAGGGTATTAGGCCATTCCTGTCTGCAGTGATCAGCTGAGGTGGCCAAACTCAGGAGCAGAGTGCTGCTGAGAAAACTCTTGACCTGGCAGAGCACACACCATGCTCAGGCTGAGAGCTCTGCTGTGTCAGCCCAGTGATCCTCTGGCCAGACTTGCAAGAGGCTACCTCTAGCCAGTTAGCACTGTGAAGTGTGGCTCCAGGTCTCAGGAGAGGACCGCCTTTGGGTCTAATGTGACCATGGCCTGGCAGCAAGGGGTGTTTATGCAGACACCTTTGTACCAGCCGGGCTGGCTAGAGGAAAGATAAGCTAGAGGGTAGCAAGGCCTTGCTCCTTGAGGAATGGGACTTGAGGCAGGGGTCCTTCAGGCATTGTGTGGCTGGGCCCGTGAGAAGCCGGGTGACAGCGTCTGGGCCTGTGAAGACCTCACTGACAGTGTCAGGTGTGATACAGGACTGCAGCCAGGGTGGGCCTGTCAGCTGGGCTGTGTTCAGCTGAAGCTCTTGCCTGTGGGTCCTGGTGGGCTGCCAGTGTGTTTCCATGGGATCCTGGCTGCCAGTACAACTCAAGATAGCTGAAAAACTGGCTGACGGGGGGCTGGGTGGTAAGGGGCCAGGGTGCAGGTCAGGACAGGCCAAGGCCTAGAAGGCAGGGCCTGACAACCCTTGAGCCATCCCAGCTGAGCTCTGGGAGGACACATTGGCCTGCTCAGTCCTGGGGCAGTGCCTGGCTCTGGGGCAGCCCCATGGGGACAGCTTGGCTGTGAGCTGTCCTTCTGGTCCTGAGGGCCCGGCTGTGCAGCTGTTTCTGGAAGGGTTGGTGGGAAGCCTAAGATGGTTCTGGTCCTGTCCTTTCCTGGTGGTGTGGGGCAGAGTAGACCCTCCTAGGACTGTTGTCCTGCCGTGTGCTATGTGCAGAGAGAGGGCCTCAGAGGACCCTAAGATGGCAGGGAGCCTGGTCGCACCTGAACCTGCTGCCCCACCCTGTGAGCTGGCCCCAGTGTCCTTCCTTATTTGTTCCTTAGGTGTGTGCAGCTGCCGGAAGGGGAAGCTCCCCAGTGCCCTCTGTGCCCTGGCCACCTACAGATCTTCAGCCCTGGACACTGTGAACCAAGACTCTGGGACTGAGCACACACCCTGTCCTGGGCTCTGCGGCTGCACCTTCTCAGTGCTGATGCACTGACGAGAAGGCCGGCAGGAAGGGGTAGGAGGACTGGCCATGGCTGCTCCAGGCCCCACCTAGGCTCCTGAGCCCTGGAGGGAGAGCTCCTGGGGGCTCTCAGGGTCCTGCTGCTGATGGGCCTTCCTCTCAGTGAGGTCCCAGGAAGTTGGGACTTTGTTGTCTGGGTAATTACCTTCAGACGCTGGACTGAGGCCGGGCAGGTCTCAGGGCCACTTCCCACAGGTCGTGCCCCCTGACCCCACAGGGAGGTGAGGTACTGTTGTGTAGAGGCCCTGCTGGTGGAGCAGCTGAGGGCTGGGCCTGCCTGGGCGTGCTGTGGGCGCCCCCTATGCTGTCTTTGCTGCTTGGGCCTCTTGACCCAGCCTTGCCAGGGGCAGAGGGCACCAACCCTTAGGAAGGGGATGCCCCCGAGGGTGCCTGATCAGCCAGCTGCCCTACCCTTCAGGCCCTGCCTGGCCTCCAAGCCCCCCATTGTGGTGCCCCAAGCAGCCCTGTGGGCAGACATTTGCCATCATGGCCGAGCACCTGGAGCTGCTGGCAGAGATGCCTATGGTAGGCAGGATGAGCACTCAGGAGCGGCTGAAGCACGCCCAGAAACGACGTGCGCAGCAGGTGAAGCTGTGGGCCCAGGCTGAGAAGGAGGCCCAGGGTAAGAAGGTCCACAGGGAGCAGCCACGGAAGGAGGCAGCTGACCAAAGGCCACAGAAAAAGGTCCTCTTCCTTCCTAGCATTGCCCTTCTAGAAGCTGCTGCCCGAAATGACCTCGAGGAAGGTGAGTATACTTAATCCCAGGGAGTGCTGGGTGTGGCCTTGACTTGTGCTGGGGTTTAGGGCTGGGCCTAGGCTTGTTCATAGCTGCCTCTGGGTCTGAGCTGGTTCTAGCTCCAGGGGACCACTGGGTCCCACGCTTAGGAATGCTTGTGGTGGGATAGCTGTCTTTCAGCAGAGTCACATATGGAAGGTCCTGCTGAGAGGTAGGACCTGCAGAAGTACCCAGTGATGGCTGATAGCCCACACTGCATTTGGCCTGTGTGGGAGGCTGCCCAAGTCCTGGTCCCTGCTTGCTTGGGTGCTGAGGCCCCACCTCTGTAACGTGGCAGGCATTGAGGGTGCACTTGGGATGACTTCTCTCCATCAGTCCCAGGTCCTGTCTTTGGCTCCCTCCTCTCCATTAAAACCTTTTAGGCTGCCACAAGTCTGGCCTTTCAGCTGCCTATTGCACCCCCAGGCCCTGTGCTTACAACCCCACTGTGTGCAGGGCTCTGGGGGTGGGTAGAGTACTCAAAGCTGCTGCCTCCTGTGCCCACACTCTAGGCTAGTGCTTTCAATGATACAAGCAGCCCGCCATGGCACATGTGCCGTAGGCTCCCCACCACTGCCCTAGGCTGTAGCAGCTGTGAGGGGAGGGGATGTCCTGGGGCCTGAGCACCTGGGGCCATGCTGTAGGAAGGTGGGGGCTGCTGGGCCTCCGGCCTACGTGGAACAGACTGACCCTTGTGTGCTCCTGAGCTGTAGACCTGCCGCTATCTGCATCATCCTTCCCCAGCGCTTGGCAGCAACACAGGACAGTGACAGGCCTTGTACCAATCTCACTTCCTACTTCTTGCAGTCTGCCAGTTCCTCAGGAATGGGGTCAGCCCAGATCTGGCCAATGAGGATGGCCTGACAGCACTGCACCAGGTTAGCCTGTAGGTGGTGTTGGGGGTGGTTAGGGCCTGGCTAGGCTCAGGCCACTCAGGGTGCTTGTCTGCAGTGCTGCATAGATGACTTCCAAGAGATGGTGCAACAGCTACTGGAGGCCGGGGCTGACGTCAATGCCCGAGATAGCGAGGGCTGGACGCCTCTGCATGCTGCAGCCACTTGTGGCCACTTGCATCTGGTGGAGCGCCTCATCTCCCGGTATGACCCACTGGTCCTCTGGTAGGGAAGTCTTACTAGTGACAGCCTAAGTGGCTCCTTTACCTAGCTCCCCAGTCCTGACTTCTGTGTCTCCACCTCTTCTGTTGACCTTGGTGGTCTTCTGGGGAATGAATGCATGCTCAGCATGGATTTGAGTCTGTCTGGCAGCCTGGACCTCCAGCTCCAGCCTGAAGGCTTTTTGTTTTCCCCTGTATTTATTTATTTATGTATTTATTTTAACATATTTGGCACAGTGTCTCGCTGTGCAGCTCACACTCATAGTGATCCTCCTGTTTTCAGCCTCCTCAGTGCTGGGATTACAGGCATGCACCACCACACTTGGTCTCAGTGTGCCCGGGGTTGGGGCTGGCGTGGCATGTGGGGCCGTGGATAGAACCCCAGACCCTGTGCTTGCCTAAGCACCTGGGGTTAGTTCACTGAGCTCTCTTGCTCACCCTTTTCCCTGTACTTTTGGGCAGGGAGGGGTACCAAGAATCAAACTCAGTATCTTGTGCTTGCCAGGCAGGTGCTATGCCATGGAGCTATATCCCTGGCACCATGAGGGGCTTCTGGGTCTGCAGTGTTGAGGGTAGAATTGGTGAGGAAAAGAGGAGCACAAGGACCTTGTGGGCTAGGATAGGGGACGCCTGGGCATCCTCACCCAAAGGTGAGAATGAAGGTGGAGCAAGTGACACTGGTGTTCAGGAGCTTCTTCCTTTTCCCAGTTCCATGTTTCTCAGGACTGTTGCCATCACTGTTGTGCCTCCTTGATGTGGGGTGGAAGTGCCACTGGCAGGATCCTGGGGTTTCCCTGGGAGAAGGTGATGGGCTATAGGTAGGCTATAAGCCCCAGGTACCCTCTGACCGTCTTCCTTCATGGCACATGGGGACCCCCTCTATGTTCTGTGCTGCCTCCCACCCCCAGCCTGCTTACCCTGTTTGGGGCTTCAACATAGTCCTTGCACACCCATTGCAGGTATGCCCACTGTATTTATGGGAGTAGATGGGGAGACTGTAGGATGGCCACTCTAGCTTAGGGGAAGCCTATATTTCTTCAGGTAGTCCTTGGCTGAAGGCCTCTCAAGAGGACCTCTCAAAAGGTCTCTCCTCTCAAAGGGGACTTCCTGAGTGAGGAAGGTCCTAAGTGTAGGGCCTTGTCCATCCTCCCTGCAGTGGTGCAGACCTCCTGGCAGTTAACACTGATGGAAACATGCCCTATGACCTGTGTGAGGACGAGCAGACACTGGACTGCCTGGAGACCGCCATGGCCAGCCAAGGTGAGTGTGCCACACCTGCCCATGAGGTGGGCCCCAGGAGGGCGAACTCTGAGCCTGCTGCCCTGCAGGCATCACCCAGGACAGCATTGAAGAAGCCCGCGCAGTGCCAGAGCTGCGCATGCTGCATGACCTCCAGAGCCTGCTGCACACTGGGGCTGACCTCAATGACCCCTTGGACCATGGGGCCACACTGGTGAGGATCCTGGGCCATATTAGTGGGCCTGCCATGGGACTGAGGGGCATGCTGCCGAAGGGATATGGGGTCAGGATTCAGCAATGGGTGCTTGCTCCACAGCTGCACATTGCTGCTGCCAATGGGTTCAGCGAAGCAGCTACCCTGCTGCTGGAGCATGGAGCCAGCCTGAGCGCCAAGGACCGAGACGGCTGGGAGCCACTGCATGCTGCAGCCTACTGGGGCCAGGTGAGTTTGGGCAGGAGCAGGTGGGCAGGGCTCCTGGCCCTAGCGTGAGCACTCCATAGCCTTGGCTGACTGGCCCACAGGTGCATTTGGCAGAGCTGCTTGTGGCCCATGGGGCTGATCTGAATGGGAAGTCGCTGATGGATGAGACGCCCCTGGGTGAGCACACAAGGCAGCCTCCACTGGTGTGTGTGGGGTGGTGGTAAAGGTGCTCTTGACACCTGTGCTTACCTCTCCTCAGATGTGTGTGGGGATGAGGAGGTGCGGGCCAAGCTTCTGGAGCTGAAGCACAAGCATGATGCGCTCCTGCGAGGCCAGGGCCGTCAGCGCTCCCTCCTGCGCCGCCGTACTTCTAGTGCAGGCAGCCGAGGGTGAGCCACCTACCTAGAACACTGCCTGACCCTTTGTCCCCAGAGCTGTCATCCCGCAGGAGCCAACCACAGAACCCTGGGCTGAGTCCCTTTGCCATTCTGTCCCTTCCCCTCCCCCAGGAAGGTGGTGAGACGAGTGAGCCTGACCCAGCGTACCAACCTATACCGCAAGGAGCATGCCCAGGAAGCCATTGTGTGGCAGCAGCCGTCGCCCAGCAGCCCAGAGCCACTAGAGGATGATGAAGACCGCCAGACGGACGCCGAGCTCCAGCTTCCACCCCCAGAGGTGAAGCCCAGCCCACACATTGCCCCTATTTATTTATTTATTGTTTTGGGTTTTTTTTGACAGTCTCATTATGTAGTCCAGACTGACCTTGAACTCACTATGTAGTCCAGGCTGTCCTTGAATTTGAGGCAGTCCTCCAGCCTCAGTATTCCCAGTGCTGGAATTTCAGGCATAGACTACCACACCCAGGAGCCCCATCTTTTAAATGGCTCTGGCAGGTGACACTGGGGTGGGACCTGTCACTACTGCCTCTGATCAGTATCAGTCACCTCGTGGAGGTGGCAGGATGAGGGCCCTGCTCTCCTGGATGTGCTACAACCACAGCCCCTCAAGTCTGTCCCTCTCCAAACTCACAGCCTTTGCCCAAGGCCAGGGCAGGCAAAAGAGAGCATTTTCTGATGTCTTCTGGGTTCCTGGTTCTGTCTACAGGAAGATGACCTCAGCGTGGCCAGGTCACACAATGGCCGGGTAGAGGGCCCCCCAGGGCGGCACCTGTACTCCAAGCGGCTAGATCGAAGTGTCTCCTACCAATTGAGCCCGCCGGAGAGCATGGCTCCCAATGACCTGGTCCGGGACAAAGCCCACCAAACCCTGGCAGATCTCAAGCGCCAGCGAGCTGCTGCCAAGCTTCTACGACCATCACCTGAGGGCCCGGAGGCCCCTGAGCCTAGCCTGCCGACTGACACTGAGACCTCCCGTTCAGGCTGTGGCTCCAGGGCAGGCGGGGACCCACCCCTGCTCAAGCTCACAGCCCCTTCGGAGGAGCCCCATCTGGAAAAGAGGCCCTGTTGCCTCCTCATGTGAAGGCTAGCGCTCAAGGTGGCAGGGTCCCATCCCCAGGCCCAGCCGGAGTGTGTGCCCTGGTACTGCAGGCAGGCAGCTAGTGTAGTCTCTCCAGCTCCCTCTTCCAGGACACTGGCCCTTTCTCAGGGATGTACCTGTGGCAGACCCATACCTGCAATATCAGCTGCAAAGACTATCCTGTGACTCTTGATAAAGGGCTGTTTGCCATCAAGTCTTCCCGTGTGTCTCAGCTGGGGAGGGGCAGGCTGTGTGGCTGCGTCAGGTGCCACCTATGCCCACAAGCACCCAGGCCTGTAGGTGCGCGCTAGGACTCGCATATGTGGGAGGGAGGCCCACAGCACTGTGAGAAGCCTAGCCTTTTCCCACACCCTCATTTGCCAGGTTCAATCTCCTCCTCCTCCTCGGTAACTCTTTGCTTTCCTGAGGACAGTAGGGTGCTTTGTCAAGAGGTCCTATGGGGCCACGGCTGGGGGTGTCCTTGCAGAGGGGCCAGGTCTCTGGCCTGGAAAGGGAAGTAATGTTTTCCATAGGACCCCTGGGGCAGAGCCAGTGAGGCAGAAGAAAAGGCATAAGGTTGGCATCAGACACTTCCTGGCTGTTCCTGGCATGCAGCCTGATGCTGGCCTGACTGCCAGCTTTGGTCTGGGCTGGTATAGGTGACAAGTATTTGGCCACTCACACTGAGCTGGCTGGACGCAATGCATCAGGGTGAGAGGGGTCCCTTAGGGGCCTCAAGCTGGAGGACTGAGGGTCTTAACCCAGTCACCTCTCCATGGCAAGCAGTTTTGGTTAGCCACCAGGGCTGGGTAGGTTTGGGCTACTCTCTCCTTACCAGGCACCAACCTGGTCAACCCTATGTCTCCTAGGCCCTCCCTCCCTCTAGCATCTGTTATTGGAGGGCTGGTGTCCTTAGCTGGGTTGGGGGAGGGCCAGAGGCTGGCTGCTGGTTAAATTTAGTGAGTGGGATGGTATAGCTGCTGAAGGTCCACCTGCTACTGCAGCTGCCACTTGGGCCCTGCTGCCAGGGAGCGGGCAGTGGCTAGCTCTGCCTGAGGCCAGGTCCATAATGACCTGTGCTCTGGCCTGTGAGCTGAAGGTCACTGTGGCAGCAGAGACAAGAGGTCTAAGGTGAGAGAGATGTGTGTGAATGTGAAACCTACCCAGGGTTCCTGGTGCCTTTTCTGAGCCTGCCGAAGAGCAAGGCTACTCTTGGGGCTGACCAGTTGCCAACTGCTTAACTCAGCAGGCTGGCTCCCTGACCCTTGGTCGCATAGGCTTTGATGCCAGCCAGCGTAGAGGCCAGTGTGGGCCAATCCTGAGCACTGCCTGTCAGACTCCCTTCAAAGCCTGTGGAGGTGGGGCTCTGAGAGCCTATAGTGGCTCATTTCTTTTTCTTTCCACCAATCAGGAGTGAAAAGGAAGAAGACTTAGATTATCCTGGACCTTGGGTGTGGCTCCAAGGACAACCCCAGGCTGACCTGTGGAAGGGCACGAGGGCAGCTCTGAGCAGCCCAGGGCAAAGTGTCCGAGGGTCCAGCACTGGCTTGTCCTATATCCAGCCCTCCGGCCCTCCCCCTAGCATCTTGCAGTGTTGATTAAGGACCAAGGTCCAACCCCAGTGCTTTTTCAGCCTACAGACCATGACCACTGGCTGGTGGAACCCAGAGTGGGAACTCACCCCCAACCCTATTCCTAAGGTCTGGCCCAGTTACTAAGGTAACAGGTCTGCTGGCCCAAGCAAAGATGGGGTTACTGAGAAGGCTAGGTCTCAGCAGTGCCCTGCTAGAGCAAACCTGCAGTGGCCTTTGGCTCCAGTGTCACCTTGGGGGTCACACTGATCATCCCTGCTCAGCTCTACCAACCCCTCAGGGCCACTAGGCCTAGGAACTGAGCCCTCCCCTCCCCTAGTACCCAGTCCGGCTGTCCTTACCCCCCACACGGGTCTCTTGCTTTCTGTCATGGGGACACTGGGCCTTGCCCCAAGTCCCGCCTGCCACCTCACCCACTCTCTCTGGCTCCCTGGGGCAGAACTGTGCCCAGACTGGGGCGGGGCCCAGGCAGCTCCAGCTCCTCAGCACTTTCTGTCCCTTTCAGTGGAGCCAACAGCCTGCAGTGAAGAAGGTGCCCTCTACTCAGGCTCCCCTGTCCAGCCCTGATTCCATGATCCTGGGTCGTGTGTCCCCACCCTCATTTCTGGATCTGCTGCTTCCTGAGCCACTTTCCTACCTGGTCTGAGCAGAGTCATGGCCCTGAAAGCAGGTGACAAGAGCCAAGCAGCAAGGAATGGGCTGAAGGAGAAGGTGCTGACGCTAGACACCATGAACCCGTGTGTTCGGAGAGTGGAATATGCAGTTCGAGGCCCCATAGTGCTTCGAGCATTGGAGCTGGAGCAGGAGTTACGACAGGTATGGCCTGGGCCCCACGTGTCTTTCTGCTCCATCCTAGTGGCATGAGACAAGGGCTGTGGGGCTGACTGCCCCATCTTATTGCCTGCTCCCCTTCCCTTCCAGGGTGTGAAAAAACCCTTTACTGAGGTCATCCGTGCTAACATCGGGGATGCACAGGCCATGGGGCAGAGGCCCATCACCTTCTTGCGCCAGGTAAAACTGCACTGCCTGTAATGCCCCCTTACTCTACGTCCCTTGTCCTCAGCTCTCTCTCTCCTCCCAGGTCCTGGCCCTCTGCGTCTACCCGGATCTCCTGAGCAGTCCTGATTTCCCAGAGGATGCTAAGAGAAGGGCCCAGCGTATACTGCAGGCATGTGGGGGCCACAGTCTGGGTGAGTACTGGCGGCAGGCAGGCTCAAGCCCCAGGGAGCAGAGTCGGGTGTGTCTCTTGGGAGGAACGCAGGGGGCCTTATCACCCTCGCGGGCCTGCTCTCTGCTCTGCTTGGCCGGGGTCCAGGGGCCTACAGCATCAGCTCTGGCATCCAGCTGATCCGCGAGGATGTGGCACACTACATTGAGAGGCGCGACGGAGGCATTCCAGCAGACCCCAACAACATCTTCCTGTCCACGGGGGCCAGCAGTGCCATTGTGGTAGGCTGGGCCAGGACAGAGGACACAGGGGCTTAACGTGGGAGGGGTGCAGCCCCCAGCCCCACCGGCATTGTGTTACTCCTCTCCCAAGACTGTGCTGAAGCTGCTGGTGGCTGGCGAGGGCCGCACGCGCACCGGAGTGCTCATCCCAATCCCCCAGTACCCGCTCTACTCAGCCACGCTCGCCGAGCTGAATGCTGTGCAGGTGGACTACTACCTGGATGAAGAGCACGCCTGGGCACTGGATGTGGCTGAACTGCGGCGGGCTCTGCACCAGGCACGTGACCACTGCCGCCCTCGGGTGCTGTGCATCATCAATCCAGGCAATCCCACAGGTAAGCCCTGCCTGACCCCGCCCTTCTTGGCTTGGCCCCGCCCTGCACCTAGTCCTTATCGACCTTCCCTGCCCCTCCTTTTCGGGGCCAGAGCCCCGCCCCCAAGTGCCTGCTGTTCCTGCACCTCAGGGCAGGTGCAGACCCGGGAGTGCATTGAGGCTGTGATCCGCTTCGCCTTTGAAGAAGGGCTCTTCCTGATGGCTGATGAGGTACGGGAAGGGGCACGGGAGGGAGCAGGCAGCCAGGTCACATGCAGTCGGCCCTCACGATGCATGTGTTTCGCAGGTCTACCAAGACAACGTGTACGCAGAGGGCTCTCACTTTCATTCATTTAAGAAGGTGCTCACGGAGATGGGTTCGCCATATGCGGAGCAGCAGGAGCTCGCTTCTTTCCACTCAGTCTCCAAGGGCTACATGGGCGAGTACGTGTGGCCTGTGGGTGGGGGTGGAGGCATATGGTGCTCTCAGAGCCCCCCTCCGGATTTTGACACCCACCCTCACCCCATAGGTGTGGGTTCCGTGGTGGCTACGTAGAGGTGGTAAACATGGATGCTGAGGTGCAGCGGCAGATGCTAAAACTGATGAGTGTGCGGCTGTGCCCTCCAGTACCAGGCCAGGCCCTGGTGGACATGGTGGTCAGCCCACCTGCGCCCTCCGACCCCTCTTTCGCGCAGTTTCAGGCGGTGAGCAGTGGGGCTGTGGTGTCTGGTGGCCCAGAAGCGGACTCGGGCTTGGGGCTGCAGCGCCCTCCACCTTCCTAATCACCCCTTCCTTGGCCACAGGAGAGGCAGGAAGTGCTAGCTGAGCTGGCTGCCAAGGCCAAGCTCACTGAGCAGGTCTTCAACCAGGCCCCAGGGATCCGCTGCAACCCAGTCCAGGGCGCTATGTACTCCTTCCCGCGCGTGCAGCTGCCTCCGCGGGCAGTGCTGCGTGCTCAGGTCTGGAGGGCTGGGGACTCAGCCTGGGTTGGGTGATCACTAGGGTAAGCACGGCACCCTGACTACTCTTTACAATACCAGGAGCTCGGTCTGGCCCCGGATATGTTCTTCTGCATGTGCCTTTTGGAGGAGACCGGCATCTGTGTGGTGCCTGGGAGTGGCTTTGGACAACGGGAAGGCACCTACCACTTCCGGTGAGGACCAGCCTGCACAGCCCGTCCTCCAGCCCAGCCCCTGCCCCTCGGCTTACCACCCACCCCTTTCAGAATGACCATTCTGCCCCCGATGGAGAAGCTGCGGGTACTATTGGAGAAGCTGAGCCATTTCCATGCCAAGTTCACTCTGGAATACTCCTAAGGCAGCTCTTGGAGCCAGGCTGGGCCACTGCAGACTGACTAAGCCCAGGGACCTAGAGGTCTCTGGAGCCCTTGGGACTTACTGCTGCTACTACAAGGGGCTGGACACTTGCTTCTGCAGTTCCCAAATAAAGCTGGGTGCCAGTCTGTTCCTGGAGACTGTGTACTGCTGCATGGTTGACCCTGCCTGAAGAACCCTAGACCCACCCTTCAGGAGGAGTGGCCAAAGAGGATGCCCAGAAAGGGGTTTTCGTAGCTAGGGTCTGTTAGTCCTGGAGACACTGCCTTCCTGGGCTGGGTCTCTGGTGATTTGTGGCTTGTAGACACTGACCATTCACATAAAAATCGGAAGAGGCCAGGAATATAACTGAGCAGTACAGTGCCTGCCTGGCAAGCACAAGGTCCTGTGTTCGGGTCCCAATACTCCCCCCACCAAAAAAAAAATCAGAAAGATGGGCCAGGGAGATGGCTCAGTAGAATAAGTGCTTCCCTGGCAAGTGCGAGGGCCTGAGTTCAATCCCTGGTTCCGCCAAAAAAAAAAAAAAAAAATCAGAAGGGCTGGGGATGTCCGGGGAGATGGCTCAGTAGAATAAGCGCTTCCCTGGCAAACGCAAGGGCCTGAGTTCAATCACTGGTTCCACCAAAAAAAAAAGAAGAAAAGAATGTGAAGGCAGACCACCTGGGTCAGCAGAGCCTTGAAAATGGGGCTTGACAGCATATCCCAGAGATACATAGGGGTACCAGAGGGACACAGCAGGCGGAGCATCTTGGGAGGACCCAACAGCTTTGTCCCCAAAACACAAGGATGAGTATCTTGTTAGTGCACTGCAATGTTCTTCTGAGGTAGATGGGGAAATCCCTGTCTTATGCATGAAAAAACTTAGGCCAGGGAAATATCTGGCAGGACGCCCACTTAAGGTGGCTCAGCAGCCAGGAAATGTGCTGGATGTCTTCCTGCAGCAACACAGCAGGCCAAGCATCCTTGAGCATTTAAGATACCTCAGTAACAGCCTCACTTCACAGCCCCATCCTGGCTTTGGGGTCCTCAGGGCATGGCTATGAGCAAGAGGGGGCACACAAGGGCATCCCTGGCAGAGCAGGTCCTGACTGAGCAGGCTATCCTTGTCACAGGCCCTGGGGGCACCCTGAGCAGTGGCTGTGTCCCCCTAGCTAAGCATGGGCCCTTGTCTTTCACACAGGACCTACCCCCCTCCTCCCTTCCGTTGCTCTTTGGGGCTACAGCCTTGGGGAGGGGGCTGAAGCCATACAACAGCAAAAGAGAGGGCAGAAGGGCTCATGGGTAGACAGGCCGACTCCTCTACTAGGGTTGGACACCGGGAAGCTAAGAGAGTCTTGACAGCCCAGCCATGGGGAAGCCAGGCCACTGAGTAAAGTGGTGCGTGATTCTCTCGTTGGACACCAGCGGTCTCTTTTGGAAAAAAACTGTTGTCCGTCTGTCTGTGCCAGGGGGCGCCCGAGAGCTGACAATGCAACGCTCTAGGCCCTCTCCAGCTCGGTGACTCTCGCCGCCCTCCGGCGCTGGAGCGCATGCGCGAAGATCTCCAGCGCTCTCTTCATTCTGGACTCGGGAGACTCAAGGGCCAGCCCTGGGAGGAGACGCCCCGACGCACGGCTTCTGTTGGTAGAGCACTGCGGTCCGCCCTTCGGTTTGTCCCAAGCTTTGGCACGTTCCGGGTTTTGGCACCAACAGTACTGGAGCACGCGCGTCGTTCAGCAGCCGTCCAGCAGTGACCTCGTGTGGATGGGCTCTCACCCTATCATACCCCACAGAGCCCTCACCGCCTGACGCCGGCCATGCGCGCGAAGCTGCTGTCACTGGCCGGTCTCTACCTGGTGCAGGGCCTGCCTTATGGGCTGCAGTCTGGCCTGCTGCCTCTCCTAATGCGGGCCCGCGGCCTCTCCCTCTCTCGCGTGGGGCTGACCAAGGGGCTGTATGCACCGTGGCTCTTCAAACTGGCATGGGCACCGCTGGTAGACAGGCGGGGCTCCCCGCGGGCCTGGCTGGCGCTCAGCACAGCAGCGCTGGGCCTGGTGTGTGCGTTGCTGGCCGCGCTGCCTCCCGTCCCGTCTGGCCAGGTGGGGCTGCCTGCCATCGTGGTGGGCCTGCTACTTCTACTGAACTTGGGAGCGGCTGTGCAAGATGTGGCCCTGGACACACTGGCCATACAGCTCCTGGAGCCAGCCGAGCTGGGGCCCGGCAACACTGTGCAGGTGGTCGCCTACAAGCTGGGATCAGCGCTGGCTGGGGGCGGGCTGCTGGCCCTCTTGCCCAGTCTCTCTTGGCCACTGCTGTTTCTACTCCTGGCTGCCACCTACTGGCTAGCTGCAGCCCTGGCCTGGGCTGCACCAGTCCTACACCAGGTGCCCTGGCCTCAACCCTCAGAGCACACTCCACGCCACCTGCAAGATTTGCTGGCTGTGCCTGGGACCCTGTGGACGGCAGGCTTTGTGCTCACCTACAAGCTGGGTGAGTGAGGGCTATGTCAGGCAGCGGCGCTGGGGCCCCAGGAGCTCTGGAACCCACTTAGAGGATCACCCTTTCTGGGGTATGATCTGCCAGCGGGGGCCCAACAAAGAGGGCTCTGTCACATAGTTCCTACCTCTTCTTTCAGCTGCAGCCATAGCCCTTTGGGTTGCATAGTGCTGACCACCGACTCAGCACCTGTGGCCCAGGAAGATGGAGGCAGGGCAGGGGCTTGGCTGTTGAGCACAACTGAGCCGGCAGGATGGGGAGGGGGAAACAGGGATGATATGGGCCACCCCTGCTCATAGTTTCCTGCAGGTGAGCAGGGTGCCAGCAGCCTGTTTCCACTTCTCTTGTTGGACCATGGTGCTTCTGCCTCTGAGCTGGGGCTGTGGAGTGGCTTGGGTACGGTGGCCTGCTCCATTGCTGGCTCTTCCTTAGGCGGGGCCCTACTGACCAGGCACTGGTAAGCCTTCCCCAGCCCACCCTTCCCCCTCATCCCTGGCCCTATCTGGAATCTTCTGACCTGCCATCCCCCCACTCCCACCCCAGGCAGCTGTTGCCTTTGCTGAGGTTAGTGCTGCAGCTTCGTCTGGGAGGCCTGGCCTGTCAAACTGCCCTGCTCTTCCACCTGGACACTCCAGGGGCCAGTTTAGGCCCTGGCACTGTGCTAAGAGGTGAGGGGCTGGCTTGGGGGAGGGAAGGGCCAACAGGCCTGGGCCCTGCTGACCTCTGCCCTCCCAGGAGCTGCCTTGCTGAGCCTGTGTCTGCAGCACTTCCTGGGGGGCCTGGTCACCACCACCACCTTCACTGTAATGATGCACTGCAGCCAACTGGCACCCAGAGCCCTACAGGTGAGGGGATGTGGTAAAGACACCCAGGGGCTTCAGGGATGGAGAACCAGTAGACCCTAACCCTCCTCTCCCTCAATCTCCAGGCCACACACTATAGCCTCATGGCCACGCTGGAGCTGTTGGGCAAGCTGTTGTCGGGCACCCTGGCTGGAGTGCTGGCTGATGGCATGGGTCCAAATCCCTGCTTTGGTGTCTTTCTTGTACTCTCAGCCCTGCCCCTTCTGGATCTGGACCTAGCACCTAGCACCTTCAGCTGAGCCGAGCAGCAGGACTACAAAGTATGCCATTGCTAATGCCTATCTTGAATATGTGAGATGCAGTTGTCCTGAGGTGGACAGTGGCCTCCTCCCAAAGCAGAGCCCATAAAGCAACTCGAACACTTTTATTCTGTATATACAGCCTCCTTGTTTCTGCACAATTTTCTCTGTGCTTTGCCAAGGGGTCAGTCATTGTCCTGACCACCCTGACTGCAGGACCCAGCTGAGTGTCTCCCTGTGGGGAAGCACCTTCCTGGGAGGGCAGTCATGGGCCTGCCAACAGGAGCTCCTCTGTGGCCAGGCGCATAAGGGCATGGAAGTTCAGATGCAGGTACTTCCTCCAAAAGCGCTGGTCTCGCCCATATACCTGGGCTGGGTAACAGGGGCTTCCTACAGTGAGACAAAGACACAAGTCTGAAGACTCAGTGTTGGTCCCAGTCCCTGGCTCCCTGCTTGCTTCAGCCAGCCCCTGGGGCCCTCACCGATGCCATGGAAGATCCGGGCAACAGCCCTGCCTGAGAACTTCTCCTCTGGCCGCAGGGACAGGAACTGGCGGATGTCATGGCGGACCTGGTCCTCCCAGTCCTGCAGCTGTGGGTGAGTGGGTACAGCAGACTTGGCATGTCCACGGTACCATGTCCCACAGAGCCCAGCCCCAGGCCTGCCCAGAGAATCTTGAGTCAGGTTGGATGGGGCCCAAATAGCAGGGGGCAGCTGTGTGTGTCTCGGCTGTGCTCCCTGGGAGGCATCCTGGGGGTGGCACTCACCTGCACTTGCCCAGGCTCTGTGCTCTGCTTGTCCTTCACATGCCCCTCTTTCTCTTCTTCTTCTTCCTCCTCAAAGTAGCAGCTGAGCAGAGTCTTCAGCTGGGCACTGCGTTCCTCATCAGGCTGTTCTAGGCAGGGCCCACAGCTGGGGAGGGCCACACTGGAGCAGGACAGGTATTTCAGAGCCACATGGGGCTACGTGGGTGGTCCCAGACCTTGACCTCGTTCTCCTCACCTGTGAAAAGCCTGAAACATTCTGCGCAGATGGGCCAAGGCCTTGCGTTCACGGGTCTGCACACAGCTGTACAGGAAGTCGCAGACCTGGTCTCTCTCTTGAGCTGTCAAGTCCCCGGGACTATGCAGGTGGAAGGCCAGTTCTCCAAACTCCACAAGCACTCCAGTACTCTGTAGCACACCTGCCAGGAAGTATTATCAGTCACAGATGCCAGGTGGGAAACAGAATCAAGGAGAGGGTAGAGGTGAGCACACCTGTTTTAGGCTCTCGGTCCCACTGCAGCTGGTGCAAAGCCCGCCGCACGGAAGGCAGCTCCCAGCCCATTGAATCTACCAGCTCTACCACGTTGAACTCCAAGGAGCAGCTGCCGTGCCTTGTGTTCTCAGGTGGCCACTGGGCCCAGCATGCAGCCACGGGCGGACACCTGTATGCAGGGAAAAGGGACATATAGCCAGCAGCCCTGGTCTTTTGTCCCCATCCCCAACCTAGGGTGAGAAATGCTCACCTGCTGGCCAGGGCCTGGAGCTGGCTGGTGCCCCCAGGGCAGTACAAACGGCAGTGGGCATAGGTAGCTGGCAGCAGCTCAAGCCAGTGTTGTGGGTGAAGTTCCAGATAGCACAGCAGAGTCTCAATGGCTGAAGAGAAGAGCTAGGGTCAGGGGGTGCAAGAGCTGCCTCTCCACACACCCCACATCCTTTGGCCCTCACCCTCTTCTGGCATGTCCAGGGCCTGCACTGTTGGCTGCACTGGGAGTGCCCGCTCATGTCCTAGGCAGGCCCGACCCTGTCTAAAAGCTGCTGGGTAGCCACCATGTTGTTTGGCCTCCAGAGGTGGGGACTCAGCTGTGGGCCTTGTCCCATTGTCACCTCCTCCCTGTCCTTCCTGCTGGATGCAGGTGCAGGGTGGGAACACACACTGCATCAGCTTCTTCATGGCTAGGAAGTCGGCGCCATCTGCATGCACGTGTCTGCGTAGTTCTCGAAGGTCCTCACCCTGCAGTATGGCAGTTATGAGTGCAAGGCCAGAAAAGTCGGTGGAAGGGGCATTGAGACACTAACCTGGGGCTGTAGAAAGAGGTGGCAGTGGGCAGGCTGCCCATCACGCCCAGCACGCCCCACACCCTGGACGTAGCTCTCAAAGCTTGGGGGCAGCCCCAGGTGCAGCACAGCCCGCACGTCAGGTCGGTCCAGCCCCATCCCGAAGGCTACTGTGGCCACCACCACCCGCAGTTGGCCCTTCATGAAGGCCTGCTGCACTCTCTGCCGCTCCCGGTTGCACAGGCCAGCATGGTAAGCTTCAGCCACAGCTGCAGGGCCACGACCTTTGGGGAAGTTGATGTTGGTGGGACCAGAGCATGGGTGCAGGGTAGTCCCTGGGAGACCTGGCCTTGTTTGTGCTCACCTCTGAGCTTTGGGTCCTGCACTGCACAGAGGCAGGTTCGGAGGAGTGCAGCAATCCTCTGTGTGTCCTCACGCCGGTTACAGTAAACAATGACAGAATCCAGGCTACGGAAACGGTCGCCCTGCAGCAGTGTCACCAGAGCCTGGCAAGAAGCAACTGTTGGGCCAGGCTGTGTGTGTGTTGGGGAGGTGTCCTCATCCTGACCCCTGATGTGGACACACCTACCTGGTCTGGGTCTCTATCTCTGGATACAGACAGGTACAAGTTGGCAGGGATGACAGGTGCCTCTCTGGGACTCGGTTCCTCAGCCACTCCCAGGTGGTGGGCCACGTCACGGGCAGTATTGCGTGTGGCTGTGGCTGTTAGGCCCAGGAAACAGCTGACACCCATACGCTCCCGAAGCACCTATAGCAGGAGGAAGGTCATAGGAAGGCCACTGGACTCATATGGGCCCCACCCACCTACGCTGGCCCCATGTGGCTCACTTTGCAGACTCGAAGGTAGCAGGGCCGGAAGTTGTGTGACCACTGAGAGAGGCAGTGGGCCTCATCAATGCAGGCAAAGGCTACTGGGGGCAGCTGGGAAGCCTGAGGGAGGCTGACAGGGCTCCCAGAACCAGCTCCAACCAATGCCTCGGGGGACAGCATCAGCACATGCACTTGGGCTGCCTGCACCTAAAAGTAACAAGGTCAGGAGCACTGCCCAAGTTGTGTTCCCCTCTGCTTCCAGTCCATGGGGTACCTCCTGACCTTCTGTAGAACAGACTGCCGCTGTTTCCTGGTCATGCCTGAATGGAGGCACGCGGCCTTGAGACATGCGGGCAGGTGGGATAGCTGCGGACATAGACAATGTCATCACAACCCAGCCAAACCCAGCCTGAGTCCACTTAGAGCTGCTCAACCCAGCAGGATGTCCAGGAGGAAAAGCACCAGATCCTGGGTCTGGCTGGTGGGTGCTGAGGTCAGGCTTTGTTACTCTCAGGTAAAGACCAGCCAGGTATCTTGCAGCTCTCATTGGGTTCAGGGAACAGGACGCAACCTGAGGATATCACAGGCACCGGTTTTTAACCATCTACAGGTACTAATGGCCCCATTTACACACCTGATCATCCATGAGAGACAGGAGCGGGGAGATGACCAGGGTAAGGCAAGGGCTGCGCTGGGCATACAGCAGTGCAGGAAGCTGATAGCACAGGGATTTGCCAGCGCCTGTGGGCAGCACCAGCAATGTGGAGATGCCTGGGCAGGACAAGAGACAGCTGCAGGGTTCTGTAGTCTATTAATACCCAGCCCAGCCCCTGGACAGCCTCACTCACCAGACAGGATTCGCATGATTGTTCGCTCCTGCCCAGGGCGGAAAGCTTTGTGCCCAAGCTGTTCAAGAGCTCGGAACACCTCAGCTGGTGTCTCTGTGGACAGAGGTACTGGTTACCACAGTTCTCAAGTCTTCCCCCCTTGGAGATTCAGACAGGTTTCTGCTCACCTGCTACCTGACCCAAAGGCCCTGGTGGGTAGAGAGGCAGCACTGAGGGGGCTGTGTTCGGTGCCTGTAGGTCAGGCTCAGCAGACTCTGTGTCCTGTTCTGCAAGGGCAGATCAGCAAGGGTGACACGGGGGCCACAATCTCGGCCTAGACCTGTCTGGAACCACAGTCACAGGCCACAATCACCCTCTACCCCGCAACTCACTGGGGCAAGCAGTATCTATCCTCTGGGTTACTTCCTCCAAAGTGGGAAAGGACTGCATGTCATCTTTGTCCTTATCACCTTCCTTCTGCAGGGCCTGCATGGGTCCTAGGCCAGGAGTAGAAAGCTAGTAGCATCTTTTACTCCCCGAGAGTGTGCTACTCTTACTGCACAGCATCATCCCACCTCATTCCCCAGGGCAGAAGCCTACCTAGCTGAGAGCACTGGGATTTCCAGTGGCCAAACTGCCCACACTGGAAACAAGACTTCTCAGTCGTGGCTCTGGGCCCACCACCCCTCAAATACTCTTTTTTCTTCTGCCACTTCTGCTTCCATGCCTGAGAAAGGTCCACAAGGGAGAATCATGTGAGAAGACAGAAAAGGGGAAAGGGGATGCCTACCTTGTCCTTCCCTGCTTGTCTCACCTGCTTTCGGAGGAGCCTGCCTCGAAGGGCCCCAACCCGCGCGTAACGTTTTTGCTTCATGTTGAGCCGAACGTAGTTACCCTTATCCTGGATCACTGTCTGAGGGCAGGTGTGGGGGTGGGGTATGCTCTCAGCCTTCTCTGCCTTAAGTGATCTTGAAGTGCCAGGGCAGAGCTGAGGTGTCTGGACCTGTACAGCACCCCCTGTTGGGTCCTCAAGAACTGTGGCCCCAGCCCCCTCAGACTGGAGTGTTGCTTGATTGCTGTCCCTTTGTGCCTGCACGGGAATGCTGCCATTCTCCTCAGTCCATTTTTGCTTCTTGCCTCTATGGCTGTTGAATTGGGGTCGCCCTGCACTGGTTTGTGCTGCCTGTGGCACTGGAGCAACTGGGTCTTGAGAAGTTGCCTCAGAGTAGGTATTGGTGACAAGAACTGACAGTTCTCCTGGGGTCATAGGTTGAGATTCCTTTGTGCTGGAGGGCTCAGAGGCCTGAAGACAATCTAAGGCTCCATTGTGACACCGCTGCAGCCAGCCAGGGTCTAAGGAGCTCAGCCGCAGATTCAGGGATGCCCGAAGCTGCTGGAGTCGGCCTGGCCTTGGCTGGGGCTCAGAAGGCTTGGTAAGTGCATCACTGAGTTCTTCTGGAGAGGTAGAAGGAGTCCCTGGGCTGAGTGGCTTTGGCGTGGGCTTCTTAGACAAGCGTCTACCTGGAGGCTGGCACCTGTGGCCCAGGGCTGGGTCATCCTGAGAGAGGTCAAAATAGTAAGTAGAGATTCAGGCCTCTGAGCTGCTCAGAAACTTGCCTGAGTCCTCACCCTCAGCGATAGAGCAGGGCATGAAGCTGAGACAGAAAGGAAGCTGAAGCAGAGGCTGCTCCAGAGCACCTCTCAGGATTTAAGCCCTGGTTAGCAGGGGCCGTAATGCCTGAGTGAACTGAGCAGTGGAAGGGGAGGGGGGTCAGGGGGCACCTGGTGAACCTGCTCATGAGTCAAGAGCCAGGGGCAGTTTTGGGCCCAGTGTGGGTGCACACTTTTCTTCTTCCACCCCTCACCTGTAAGGTGCCCTTCAGATTGGCCTTAAGTCTCTTCCCATAGTCTTGTGCAGATCTCTGGGGGCTCAGCACTGGAGTACGATGTGGACTCTGCGTTGCAGCCCGATTCAGGTGGGATCCCCAGCAAGTGGGGTTTGGAGCCTGCAGAAGACAATTAACCCAGAAAGGGTGGCCCGGAATAGAGGGGCCTCCATTGCCTGACAAACCAGTCTGGCTCTTTCCTGTCCCACTGTGTCCTGTTTTTCCCAATTCTGCACCCACGCGGGCTGGGCTGTGATTGCCCTTGACTCCTGCCATTCGGTCTGGCAATAAGCTACGAGGCGGCAGGGGTTCAGGGCGTGGGTACCTCCTGGGCTGAAGCGGAGAGCAACTGGTTGTGGCTGCAGGGCCCGCCACTCCTCCGGCCCACAGCCTGCTTCAGGGCACGATACTTGCGGTACAGAGCTAGGTGAGCAGGAGGGAGCCCGAGTCAGGGCGCAGCCCGCCGCTCCCCTGTCACCCCTGTTCCAGCCATCAGGACAGTGCGCTCACCGCGGGTCTCCTCCGGCGCTGCCTCCACGTCCTCCTGTGAAGGGAGCACATCAGCTGGAGGCCGCGGCCTTAGACTCCCCCCTCACCTGCGCTCAGGTCCGCACCTGGCCCGGCCGCCGCCCATGCTGCCGCGCGAACGCCCGCTCCCACGCCTGCAGGTGCGCCCGCAAGTTCCACAGGGGCTCCATTACGCTCCGTCCCTGCGGCCCGCGAATCTCCCGCCGCTAGGACGTCTTCCGCCGCGCGGTCAATGGGAGCAATCGCTGCGTACTGGGGCGGGCTCCCTGGACCAGGCTGCCAATCCTCGGGGCCCTGGAGGAGCAGCCAATGGGAGGTGTAGCATCATCGCGCCGCGCCGAGGCGCAGGGCGGGACCGACGGGGTAGAGGCGGGGCCAGAGGCCTCGGCTGCTGCTGCAGGCTGGTGAGTGCTGGATGCTGGGCCGCGATCGGGACCGTCGAGGGCGGGGCGCTAGGCCCCCGGCGGCCGTAATGAGGAGGCGGGGCTGGCGGTTGGGAGGCCGGGCTCGGGAGTCGGGGGCTGGGCCGTCGCGGCGGGGACCAGCCGGATCGGATGAGCGGGCCCGCCTGACGGGGGCGGGGCATCGGGTTTAGGCCTCCGGCTGGGGCCTGGAAGAGCCCGGTTGGGGCGTCTGCGCTACTCGACTCGTGGTGCCTGAGCCGCGGCTTTTCCAAGGGCGTGGGCGTCACCCAGAGGCAGCTCGCTTGGCACCCAGGCGGGGTGTTTTCATTTCCTCTCGTGACAGGTGCTCGGTGAGTCTGTCCTGTCTGCGAGGTCTGCAGCGTCCTCACGAAATTTGAGCATGGCAGAGCCTGGCGGAGGGTGGGTGTTTGGGGTTTCCTGGGAACCGGGGCCTTAAGGACTTGGCTGTGCGTGACAAGGTCAGCAAGCGCAGGGGCCCTACAGCCGATCTGGTCCCCGCTCCCGTCCGTGGGCATTGACCTTGGGCAAACCCGAGGCCTTGGTTTTCCAATCTGTCAGAGGGGGATGATGGTGTTGTAGTTGCCTCGCACACAGGAAGTGTGCTAAAATCAGCAGTGGGGCTGATCCCCTATGTCGCAGATTACCTGACGGCCTCAAGGGTCGTTTGTGCGCATCTTCTCGGTTTGGATGCTGCTTTGGCAGCCGTCTCTGACTCATCTGAGGAATCCCTGGCCCGAGCCCTTCTGAAACCCGTGGATATAAGACTTGTTCTCTCTCCACATTGGTTCCTCAGGGAAGAGGGCGATGACTAGGCAGGTGAAAAGGACCACTGAAGGTGAGAGGCTTTTTCTCAGGGGTTTCTATGCCTGGTAACGTCCTAGAAAATGGTAATTAACTGTAGGGCTCACGTTGCTCTCATAGGTTATGTTATCTGGATTCTCTTTCCTGGATTCCGCTCCTTTTCTTATCGGGCCTGGTGCTTATTAAGCTGTGTCTGTACTTTGTGGATTCCAAGGACAGCCCTTGAGCACATCTGGGAGGAGGGTGAGAGAGGGAAACATGATGTGGCTGCTGGCCTCCTGGGAATACACTTCTTCTAGGCATGGTGAAAGTCTGAGGGTTAGGACCAGGCTTTACTCTACTTTTGAGAAGGAGTTCTGAAGCAGCTTTGTGATTTGGGAAGCCTGAAGTACCAATGGGAGACCCTGCAGAGCGACCACCTTCTGTCAGAAGCACACACAAAGAAGCAGGTTATTGATGGTGCCTTCCCATTTATGTACTGCTTGATGCTTTGTTTTCCTAAAGAAGCCGCATGCTACTGGAGGTTGGTTACTGGGGTATGGCCTTGTCCCTTGTTTACTGGGCCCAGCCAGTGCTGGGCATTTAAGAGGTGCTCCTCTGTACCCTGTACCGCTATCCTCCACTAACTGGCATCATGCCAGGCACCGTGTTGGGCTTTCTCACCACTGACATATGGAGGGGGTCTGGTGGTGGTTGGGGGTTGATCTCCACTGAAAGCCTGTCTTCTGCAGGTGGCTGCCTGCCCCGCCCAGCGCCATGCACACGCTCGTGTTCCTGAGTATGCGGCAGGTGCTCCAGTGCCAGTCAGCTGCCTGCCAGGCCTTACCCCTGCTGCCCCGAGAGCTCTTCCCCCTGCTCTTCAAGGTGGCCTTCATGGACAAGAAGACAGTCGTACTTCGTGAGCTGGTGCACACATGGCCCTTCCCACTGCTCAGCTTCCAGCAGCTGCTACAGGAGTGTGCCCACTGCAGCAGGGCTCTGCTGCAAGAGCGGCCCAGCACTGAGAGCATGCAGGCTGTGATTCTGGGACTGACTGCCCGGCTCCACACCGCAGAGGGTGAGGCTGGCACACAATCCTTCTGCAGGTATGGGCTTACCTGAGGGGCCCTTCAACTTGGGAGTGGAGGAGGGTCCCCTAAGAAGGTTCTAGGCTGGGGTCCTGGGGTTCGCAAGAGTTCAGTATGGAGCAGGTATATTGCTTCTATCCCAAGGTGGCTGGGAGTGAGAATGGGAATGGGTTTTGCCCCGTCCCCCTCAACCCCTGCCTCAGGCCATCCCTGCCCCCAGGAAGCATGCTCTTCGGGTACTGGATATGACTGGTCTCCTGGATGATGGTGTGGAGCAGGACCCTGGTACCATGAGCATGTGGGATTGCACAGCAGCTGTGGCCCGCACATGCATTGCCCAGCAGCAGGGCAGGAGTTCAGAGCATGGCCCGGCTCCTGTCCCTGTGGAGGTTCGTGTGGACCTTCGGGTGAACCGGGCCTCCTACGCATTCCTTCGTGAGGCACTCCGAAGCAGCCTAGGCAGCCCACTTCGGCTCTGCTGCCGGGATCTCCGGGCTGAGGACCTGCCCATGCGTAACACTGTGGCCTTGCTGCAGCTTCTGGATGCAGGCTGCCTGCGCCGTGTGGATCTGCGCTTCAACAACCTGGGGCTTCGTGGCCTGTCTGTCATCATTCCACATGTGGCCCGTTTTCAGCACTTGGCCAGCCTGAGGTTGCACTATGTACATGGGGACTCAAGACAGCCCTCTGTGGATGGTGAGGACAACTTCCGCTACTTCCTGGCTCAGATGGGTCGCTTCACCTGTCTACGGGAGCTCAGCATGGGTTCTTCGCTCCTTTCAGGCAGGCTGGACCAACTGCTCAGGTGAGTGGGCCCATCACTTTTCTGCCTTTCCCTAATGTGGGGACATTCCCTTGGACCTGCCTGTTTGTGACCCCTATGTCCCCACAGCACTCTGCAGAGCCCCTTGGAGAGTTTGGAGCTGGCCTTCTGTGCTCTGATGCCTGAGGACCTGCAGTTCCTGGCACGGAGCTCCCATGCTGCCCACCTCAAAAAGCTGGACCTGAGTGGGAACGACCTGTCAGGCAGCCAGCTGACACCCTTCCAGGGTCTGTTGCAGGCAGCAAGGGCCACACTGCTGCATCTTGAACTGACTGAGTGCCAGCTTGCAGATACCCAACTACTGGCCACACTTCCCACCTTGACTCAGTGTGCCAGTCTTCGCTACCTTGGCCTCTATGGCAATCCATTATCTATAGCTGGCCTTAAGGAGCTGCTGCGGGACTCAGTGGTTCAGGCTGAGTTGCGCACTGTGGTGCACCCCTTTCCTGTGGACTGCTATGAAGGTCTTCCCTGGCCACCACCTGCATCTGTCCTGCTAGAAGCCTCCATTAACGAGGAAAAGTTTGCTCGTGTAGAAGCTGAGTTGCACCAGCTACTGCTGGCTTCAGGCCGTGCCCATGTGCTCTGGACGACAGACATCTATGGGCGCCTGGCTGCAGACTATTTCAGTCTGTGATCTCCAGCTTTGGATGATACACAGGTCAGGAGCCTTGTTGGAACTCTTCTGGAGGCCTGACACAGATGCACTGGTGTCAGGCTTCTTACAGGGTTTGCCTTGTACCCTGGCACACCCTGAGCCTTCTGTTTTCTCTTGTGTCCTTCACTTTGCCTTGCACATACTTCCTAACTGGCTATGGGCACTGGGCTGGATTTGAGGCCGGCATTGTCCTATTCAGCGTGGCTGTACTTTGGAGTCCTGGCCCTCTCTGTGGATATTCCTGGCAACCTAGCTGTGAGTTGAGAGGGTCAGTTGGTTCTCTGGGCCCTTCTGAAGAGTGCAGTGAACTGAAGTCAGGATGGCCTGTTTCAGGGAGGCTTGGGGCCCCATCTTTGATACCCAAATCAACCTCTCAGCTAGCTCTGGGACTGGAGGGTGTTATGGAGGTACAAAAGTGCAGTGTATCTGGAACTTTTATCTCTGGCTGATTTTTCTGTCCTAATTGGTAAGAGTGCCTTGTTTCTATCTCTGCTGTTACCCCAGCATGGCCACTGGGCCACAACTGTCCTTTGGCCTGCTGCCCTCCCCCGGTTGCTAACTCTAACAGCATCTCTGGCCAGCGCCAGCGTTTTACCCCATGGAAGGGATTCTAGGGGCATCTCTGGCTCTCTTGTAGCCCTAGGACTCCCGTGGGCAACGCCACACACACTGCTCAGCAGAAAAGCGCCGCTTCCACTTTTACTGAGGAGGCTTGCGCCGGCCAATCCCCGGCGCATACGTCATCGGTACGCGCGGCGTGCTCAGCAGTGGATCTCGTAGGCAACGCGCGGCGGGAGGTGAAACCCGGGCGCCAGGCCCTCGGCGGTGCTGCGGTCCTCGGGCGCATCCACAGGCCCCTCGACGAACAGGGGCTTGGAACGATCAATGACGAACATCTCGTGGCCGCGCTCGTCGCGGAACTCCTCAAGTTGAGCGAAGGTGCAGGGTCCGTCCGAATAGTCGTTGACAAAGAGCGTGCCTTCCCCCGGAGGTGCGCGAGCCTTTTTCCGCCGGCGCCTGCGCCGGCAGATCATAGCGGCCAGCAGCAGTGCTGTGAGTGCCAGCAACGCTATGGCCGCTGCGATGGCAGTCTGTGTGGCTAGGCCCAGGGCGCGGAAGGCCATGCTGCCCGCCTCGTGCTGCTGCTCGTGGCCTATGGGGCGCGTGGCCGGGGCGAGGGGGGCCAGTCGGTGTGGCCGGGTGGCATTGACTAAGAGGCGAAAGGGTACACGTGCAGCGCCACCGGCATTGGCAGCTTCGCACTCATATTTGCCGGCATGTGCCAACGTGATATTGGTCAGGAAGAGCATGCCACTGCCGGTATCAGGTGCCCCGTGCCTGCCCAGGCTTGCCACCCCGCCTTCCAGCTGGGCTTGGGCCTGTGGCCGGTTTTCCCGAGGCTGGGACACCTTCCTCCAGGTTACCAGGGGCTGTGGGTAGCCCGAGGCCTGGCAGGCCACCCTCAGGTCCTCTCCCAGGTTGGCTGTTACCTCCAGCGGCTCTACGTGTACAGAGGGGGGAATGCAGATGAGGCTACTGCCTGATACATCCAGGAGACTTTGCAGCGCCAGGCGCGGGGGCTCTGCACACATGATCTTCTTGTCTCTGGAGCTAAGCAATCGCTGCCCCCCTTCCTTGATCCAAGCACCCAGCCAGTGCAGGGCACAGTCGCAGCGCCAAGGGTTCTCTGCAGGCAGAACAGAACAGAGCCTATGGGGTTGGGGTTCTGCTGACAAAGAAACCCCTTTCCCATCTCCCACAGCATCTCACCAGAGTCCAGGATCCTCGTCACCTCTTCTCTGACTCCAAAGTTCCCTGGGGTGGTGGCAGGCCCTTCGTTGCCTGGCCCTGAGAAAGCTTCTGCTCCTTTGAAATTTCTCACTCAAGTCTCGCTGTTTTAGGGAACCTCAGTGTCCATATAGATAGCCCAACAGCACTAAAACTTTATCTGCAAATGCTCTTTCCCGGAAATTCTCCCAATCCTGGTCAGCTGCCTCTTTTCTGTTTTTGCCTGCTTGCCTACTGATGACCTGAAGGTGTTCAAGAGCTTTGGTACTTTTAAATCACTCTGTATCTGCCTTTTCAGTCTCCCTTAGGTAGACCTGGAGCTGTGTCTGCCAGCTTCCCCACTCCTGGCAGTCCTCTATCCTGGTGGCAAGACAGTGGTGTGGCCCTCCAAAATGGTACCCAAGGGTTTGGCTCAGAAGCCCTCTCCATACCTGGGCCTGTTTTCTTCCATTGCCATTGTGGCCAAGGCAAAGACTCTTGGCCAGGAGTTACCTGTGAGACGCAGGACTTGCAGGCTGGCCAGGGGCTGCAGGGCCTCTTGGCTGATCGTTCCCAGCTGGTTTCTGCTGAGGTCCAACAGGGCCAAGGAGGACAGCCCAGCTAAGGCTTGGTCCTCTAGCAGCTCAATGTTGTTTTCTTGCAGATGTAGCTCCTGCAGTCGCTGAAGTAGGGACAAGAGATAATCAGGAAAAAGTGCCCTGGCAAGTCAAACTGGGTTGAAGTCTCTCCCCCAATTATAGCTAGCAGGTGACTTGCACAAGATGTGGATCTGCTTCTAGGCCTTTGGTGCTCACCGGCAGGTGCAAGAAGGTGAAATCCAGCAGCCGCACCAGCTGGTTGCCTGCCAGGTAGAGCACACGCAGCTGTGCTAGGCCTGCGAAGGCCCCTCCACGTAAGCCGCGTAGCCGGTTGCCAGTGAGTGCCAGCTCAAGCAGGCGGGGTTGTGCGCGAAAGGCGCCAGACTCCAGGGCATGCAGGCTATTGTTGTGCAGGTAGAGGTGGCGCAAGGATGCAAGTGGAGCCAGAGTGCCTGGCTCCAGGCGAGTGATGCTGTTGTCTTGCAGGAACAGCGTCTGTGGGTTGGGGGAAGGGGATGCTTACACCATGGCAAGGCCTCCTGCTCTGTGGGGTTGTCCTTCCCCACCCACCCAAGTGCACACTTGGGTCCTTCAGTCCCGAGGCTTGGGAGGCAGTGCCCACCTGCGTCCCTGGGGGTATCCCCTGCGGGACAACGCGTAACCGCAGGGCACCACACTCCACGGTCGCACTGTAGCAATGGCAAGCAGCAGGGCAGCCTTCAGGGTGGGATGGGAGGAACAGCAGCAGCAGCAGTGCAGGAGCCCTGGAGGCCATTTCCTGGGAGAGCAACCCGGGCCCACGAAGCTACCAAGGCTTTCTCAGGGTCCAGATGTAGACAGGATGTGCCTCCTGAAACACAGGTGGGCAGGCCAGTGCCAATACTCCAGAGCCACCTCAAGGGCATGAATGGAGGCTTACAATCTATGTTGAACTTTTGAATAGTTTTGTCAGCTTAAGAAATAGATGAATACAATTTTGTTTTCTACCCTTGACAAACCACCCTCATAAAGACTTAGGGCATGAGGTTGAAATGAACTGGTGTTCTCAGCTTCTTCACAGAATATGGTCATGTGGAGAGACTCACCCAGCTCCAGACCACTTCCTGGGCAAGTGAGGGCCTCCTGCTTCTCAAGTGACATCTGCACCCAGGTGATATTCTTTGGCTGAAAGTGGCTCCCCGTGCAAGGGCTTGGGGAATGCCAGATGGCACAGTCCAGGACCAGTTATCCAAGCATAAGCAGAATTTGAGAGCAGGCTCTGGGTAAACATGTCTCCTATCTTCCCATGGTGGTGGTGGGGGACTGGCAGGAACCTAATGCTCAGCTTACAACAGAGGTCCCTTTTGTGCCCCCAGGACAAAGGTCAGGTCCCTGCCCGACCTTATCCCACAATTAACTCCTTTGCATTTGTGCTGTCCCCACCTTGAGGTTCATCTGTTATGACCTGTGGGAAGGCAATGGTAGAACTGGTCTTGGAGGGGTTGGTGAGATGGCTCAGTGGTCTAAAGCACCTACTTAGAACAAGCTTAGCAAAGCACAGGGACCGTGGTTCAATCCCCCAGCACCACATGCCAGCCAG